TGCTTTAGGTCAGAGGTCATCTACTCTCACTTGAGCTTACGCTGCTCCTACATAATGCGTCAGGTCAGAGGTCATCTACTCTCACTTGAGCTTACGCTGCTCCTACATCATGCTTTAGGTCAGAGGTCATCTACTCTCACTTGAGCTTACGCTGCTCCTACATCATGCGTCAGGTCAGAGGTCATCTACTCTCACTTGAGCTTACGCTACTCCTACGTCATGCGTCAGGTCAGAGGTCATCTACTCTCACTTGAGCTTACGCTGCTCCTACATAATGCGTCAGGTCAGAGCAGAGATGCTCACAAGTCTCTGAGCTAGAGTCCAAGTCAAGTCTCAAGTCTTTGAGCTAGAGTCCAAGTCAAGTCTCAAGTCTCTGAACTAGAGTCCAAGTCAAGTCTCAAGTCTCTTGTGGTTATAAGTGTTGCATCACGTACAGCGACCCATCCAGGTTGCTTAGAACACTGCATAACTTTATATAAGGAATTCAAAGCATGTAATATGTTAGGTTACACTTTATTTCGATAGTCCACTTTAGACATTCTACTAACCATGTACATTTTCAACTACATGTCAACTAACTCTCATTAGAGTATTAGTAGACTGTCAGGTTATGATGTGGGTTCGGGTTTGGAGAACAAGTTGACTTGTAGTTGCCAAGTTACTTATAGTCAGTAGAATATCTGTTGGGGAACCAACAAAATAAGATATTATAATATATAATTAGCAGATATTAAGCCTACTAATACTCTAATGAGAGTTAGTTGACATGCAGCTGCAAAGTTACTTATAGTTAGTAGAATGTATAAAGTGGACTATCAAAATAAAGTGGTACCATATGTTATTATGACTCCTTTATCTATTAGCATACAGTATCAGCTTTGATTTTGGTATATAATCAGTGTAAACAGGCTATTACAACATGACAAAAACACCAAGAATGCTTTACTTTTAGTTAATTTCTTTATTTTGCCTTGTAGCTTGAACATACCAAGACATAAGACCAAATATAGAAAATGATATAACTCACAACAGTAAAATTGACACACTCCTATTTAGTGCAAAACATCAGTGTAGCTAAATGCAAATAAACTATTGCATCCAAATGAAATTTTTAACACTACAGTGCACTTGCAAAACATTCAAATGCTCAAAATCTTTAGTGTAAATGTGAAGCAACTGACCAACTTTTGGCATGTAACTTGTTAAGAACAAAATGTTTAGAAATAAAAAAATCCAAAGGGTGAGAACAGACTGGTTAACCTTCTCTTCTCTTAACACACTAGGTATGGGCCACAAAACATTTCTGGCTTCTTCTGGCTGCACTGCCTATGCAACTAATCATAGCTTATATACTGTAAGTCAACACATCCCAGACTCTCAAACCAGTGTAACGTTATAACTAAATGAAACAGTAACGTTACATGATCAACAATAAACCTGTTTGTAGACAACGGGCAGCCAGCGGCACGTAAATGATTAACGTTACGTTAATCGACCAGCACAAGTTTGGCAATTAAACAAACGCTCATTCATATTTCATAAGGAAGACAGTCGGAGTTAACCTCCCGTAACGTTAGGTAGCTAAAGCAATAAGCAAGCTAACGGTAGATGGTCAATGCTGAGCTAAACATGTTTACTCACCTATCAGGGTGCGTTTTCAGATGCCTGATAAAATTAGATGTGGTTGAGCCAGAATCTTTTATCGTGATACTGCATATTTTGCATTGAGCGCTTCTTTTGAGCGCGTCTTGTTTGAAGTTTTTTAACCCAAAGCTAACGATGAATGGCTCAGCAGCGGCCGTTGCAGTCAAACTTTTTGTTTGTTATCCTCTCATGTGTGGTCGCGCGCGCGCTGCCAGCAATAGGCCACGTAGTACGTGGTTACGTAGGCAGGTTATAGGTAACGGAGGGAGGGGGATAACAGCGAGCTCATCAGACGTTTCCTAAAATTAAACATTGTTCACGAGTCCCGCAGCTCGAGTCCGAGTCGAGTCTGAAGTCTTTCGAGGACGAGTCTCAAGTCGAGTCTGAAGTCACTGTGTGTGGGACTTAAGTCGCACTCGAGTCCGAGTCTCAAACTCGAGTCCCCATCTCTGGGTCAGAGGTCATCTACTCTCACTTGAGCTTACGCTACTCCTACGTCATGCGTCGGGTCAGAGGTCATCTACTCTCACTTGAGCTTACGCTACTGCTACGTCATGCGTCAGGTCAGAGGTCATCTACTCTACCTTGAGCTTACGCTACTCCTACATCATGCGTCGGGTCAGAGGTCATCTACTCTCACTTGAGCTTACGCTACTCCTACGTCATGCGTCGGGTCAGAGGTCATCTACTCTCACTTGAGCTTACGCTACTGCTACGTCATGCGTCAGGTCAGAGGTCATCTACTCTACCTTGAGCTTACGCTACTCCTACGTCATGCATCAGGTCAGACAGAGGTCATTACTCTCACTTGAGCTTACGCTGCTCCGTCAGGTCAGAGGTTATGCGTCGGGTCAGAGGTCATCTACACTCACCTCAGCTTACGCTACTCCTACATCATGCGTCAGGTCAATAATCATGGGATAATTTTCATTTTTGGGTGAACTATTACCTAACTATCCTTTAAAAGAAGAAATGTCAAAGTAACAAATATAATGAATCTGAAGCAATATCCTCATCAGTGTTCAATAAGCTTTGACATATTTAAATCTTTATATTTATGATATTTACCCTGAGGGATTTTTTTTTTACCTTTATAAAGGTAGAAATTAGTAATAAATAATAAAAGATCGAGGAGACGAGGAGGGATATTGAGAAGCACCCATTGAGTCATTCATTCAAACGATTCGTTCAAACGGCTGATTCAATCAGGAATGAGGCAGTTGTTTATGAATGAATCATTGAATCTTTGACTCAAATGATTCGTTCAAACGGCTGATTCATTCAGGAATGATGTAGTTGTTTATGAATGAGTCATTGAATTTTTGACTCAAACGATTCGTTCAAACGGCTGATTCATTCAGGAATGAGGTAGTTGTTTATGAATGAGTCATTGAATCTTTGCCTCAAACGATTCGTTCAAACGGCTGATTCAATCAGGAATGAGACAGTTGTTTATGAATGAGTCATTGAATCTTGCCTCAAATGATTAGTTCAAACGGCTGATTCAATCAGGAATGAGGCAGTTGTTTATGAATGAGTCATTGAATCTTTGACTCAAACGATTCGTTCAAACGGCTGATTCGTTCAGGAATGAGGCAGTTGTTTATGAATGAGTCATTGAATCTTTGCCTCAAACAATTTGTTCAAACGGCTGATTCATTCAGGAATGAGGCAGTTGTTTATGAATGAGTCATTGAATTTTTTACTCAAACGATTTGTTCAAACGGCTGATTCAATCAGGAATGAGGCAGTTGTTTATGAATGAATCAATGAATCTTTGCCTCAAATGATTTGTTCAAACGGCTGATTCATTCAGGAATGAGGCAGTTGTTTATGAATGAGTCATTGAATCTTTGACTCAAACGATTCGTTCAAACGGCTGATTCGTTCAGGAATGAGGCAGTTGTTTATGAATGAGTCATTGAATCTTTGCCTCAAACGATTTGTTCAAACGGCTGATTCAATTAGGAATGAGGCAGTTGGTTATGAATGAGTCATTGAATCTTTGCCTCAAACGATTTGTTCAAACGGCTGATTCATTCAGGAATGAGGCAGTTGTTTATGAATGAGTCATTGAATTTTTGACTCAAGCGATTCGTTCAAACGGCTGATTCAATCAGGAATGAGGCAGTTGGTTATGAATGAGTCATTGAATCTTTGCCTCAAACGATTTGTTCAAACGGCTGATTCATTCAGGAATGAGGCAGTTGTTTATGAATGAGTCATTGAATTTTTGACTCAAGCGATTCGTTCAAACGGCTGATTCAATCAGGAATGAGGCAGTTGTTTATGAATGAGTCATTGAATCTTTGCCTCAAACGATTTGTTCAAACGGCTGATTCAATCAGGAATGAGGCAGTTGGTTATGAATGAGTCATTGAATCTTTGCCTCAAACGATTTGTTCAAACGGCTGATTCATTCAGGAATGAGGCAGTTGTTTATGAATGAGTCATTGAATTTTTGACTCAAGCGATTCGTTCAAACGGCTGATTCAATCAGGAATGAGGCAGTTGGTTATGAATGAGTCATTGAATCTTTGCCTCAAACGATTTGTTCAAACGGCTGATTCATTCAGGAATGAGGCAGTGGTTTATGAATGAGTCATTGAATTTTTGACTCAAGCGATTCGTTCAAACGGCTGATTCAATCAGGAATGAGGCAGTTGTTTATGAATGAGTCATTGAATTTTTGACTCAAGCGATTCGTTCAAACGGCTGATTCAATCAGGAATGAGGCAGTTGGTTATGAATGAGTCATTGAATCTTTGCCTCAAACGGCTGATTCAATCAGGAATGAGGCAGTTGTTTATGAATCAATCATTGAATCTTTGCCTCAAATGATTCGTTCAAACGGCTGATTCATTCAGGAATGAGGCAGTTGTTTATGAAATTCGCTGCTGAAACAGAACAAAAACTCAATATTGCGTCTCAAATGTAAGTGACTTTACTTGTTTATTGAGCGGTTGAATGAAATCAGTGTCACATTTTTAATCATAATGGTATTCACATCAGGATACTTGTCCGGTCGAGCAAGTGCAATTCTCTTTCTTTCGCCCCTTCAAAAAGTCCACTTGTGTCCCAGACAAGCGTTAATGTCGAGCCCTGTGTTAGCTTAGTGTCTATTCATCATAACCAAACAACAGCGCCAGTCCAGTGAAGTCCATCTGAATGTGTTGATTCTGATGCGAGATGTTCATTATTCACCAGAGGATCGGCCTGTCAGCAATAACAAACCAGTAAAGGGTCCATCTAAAGGCCTATTGTCCCACTTTACAGTTTGTATTCTGGTCTCTGTGAATGATTTGAAGCCCTGAATGAGGAACAATGATCTGAAGCTCTCTCGTGTTGGTTTACAGACTTCAGGAAGATCCTCCGACTGGCGTCAGTGGTGCTCCTTCAGAAAACAACATCATGCTGTGGAACGCTGTGATTTTTGGGTACGTTTGATAAAGTGAGACTCATGGCAGCCATTACAGTAGATGTTTATTATTATTATTATTATTTATGAATTATGTCTGTTTCCTTGCAGGCCTGTAGGAACGCCCTTTGAAGATGGTGAGCCAGTCCTTGACTCCTCCATAACACACAACACTAGTTAATAACCATTGATTATTCATCTGAGAGCGGCTTATATAAGCTATGCGAGGCTTAGGTCCAACTTTCCTGACGTATATTTAGTCAAGTCAGCTTTATTTCTACAATACAGATTGTTTCAAAGCAGCTTCACAGTCATAAATACTCCTAATGTTCCATTTTAGGGCTGCAACTATCGATTATATTGATAACCAATTGATTATTTCTTTGGTTAACCGATTAATTGGACGAAAAATCATTTTAATTTTATTCCATATCATGCTTTAAGGTTGTCGTCTAAACAATGGTGCAATTCGACTGCGGAGAAAACAATATAGTGGACCTATCTCTGTTCAGTGTGCCTCATTAATATGTGTTAATGTGCTAAAAGATATACGAAAACGGTTTCGTCTATCGACACGAAATCCATAAGTTTTTGTTCGCACAGTCTGAAGATGATATGATTCGATTTTGCTGAAAATCGGATAAACTGTCTAGAAGTTTGATTTAGATTTTTTTTAACGAAAATCAAAATGGTGGACAAGAAGTTTGGCTGATTAGGCTAATTTATTAAAAAGTTATTAGCTTTCTGGAAATTTCATTATAACTTTTGACCACAAGGTGGCGCTGCCCCAAAACTTTGAGTACTGTCAGGGAATGGTGCCGATGGCACATACCAAGTTTCGTAACAATACGCCAATGCGTTCGTAAAATATAGAAGATGGCTGATAAAATTCAAGATGGCCGACGCCTAAAATGGCCGATATGAAAAACTGGGTATTGTTCGACTCGGCATGCTGCACTGAATCTAAAAAGAACTTTTGTGAAGAGAAGTTTTGTGATATTTGGGCAAAGCATTCAGCAAAAGTAGCAATTTTTCATATCTCCTGGCCACTAGGTGGCGCTGTGCCGAAACTGTTGTCATAAACACGAAGTTTGGTCAGAATATGCTAAAGCATTTAGTGGCCATTTCGTTGAATTCGTTCGTGAGTTATTCGAGAACGATATGACGAATCGACTTTGATGGCATGTTCTGAAGATGATCTGGTTACATTTTCGTGAAAATCAGAGTAACGGCCTAGTAGGGGTTTGAATTTTTTGTAATTTTTTTATTAATTTAATGTTTACGCATGGCGTAAAAATGACGTCATAGGAAAAAGTTATTAGCAAAAACATGAGTGCAACTTTAGACAGTTGGTGGCGCTAGAGGGATTGAGTTAGAGACTCCAAAATTGCTGTGGTTAATGTTCAGACTGTCCTTTATCAGTGTGCCAAATTTCATAACACTACAATGTGCATAAGCAATGCTTCTATCGCTTGTTTCGGTTTCGCCTGTTTTCATCAGGACATTCAGTCCTCTTTCAGAAGTAATAGCGCCCCCTACCGTACAACAGTGGAAACACCGAAGCCGGGAAAGAGTTAATATAAAGTCTGTGCTTCTGATAACTTGAGCTCAGTCCGTCTCTGCGATTACATTTCAGATGCGTTTTTCCATAGAAACGCATACTATTATCGACTAATCAAATTCGTTGTTGATTATTATTGATTCGTTGTTGCAGCTCTAGTCTTTATTTTTACATTAAACCACAAAAGGTTGTTGCTTGATGTGATGTTAATTTGTAATTAAGTTCAATTTTTTACGATTTTGACGAAAATCAAAATGGTGGACTTTTTTTTTTTACGATTTTGATGAAAATTAAAATGGTGGATTTTTTTTAACGATTTTGACAAATCAAAATGGTGGAATTTTTCTGATTTTGACGAAAATCAAAATGGTGGACAGGAAGTTTGGCTGACTATGGCAAAACTGGTGTTCTAGGTATGACCCAAGGAATCTATTAAGATCAGTTTCATTATAATATGCTAATTTATTCAAAAGTTATTAGCATATTTGGAAATTTAATTGTAACTTTTGACCACAAGGTGGTGCCGCCCCGAAACTGAGTAGTGTCAGGGCATAGAGGTCATGTCTGATGTTATTTGTGTTCATCTGAGTCATCTCTCTCTCTCTCTCTCTCTCTGCAGGAACATTTAAACTCGTTATTGAATTTTCAGAAGAATATCCCAACAAGCCTCCTACGGTTCGCTTCATCTCCAAAATGTTTCACCCCAACGGTGAGCTGCTGTTAGTGGTTCTGAAGTAATAGTGGCTTTCGCACCGGTAGTTCTAGGATCTGGCCGCCAGGGTGGTTCCCCGAGGACTAATGGTTCCCATAGGAATGTTTTCCTGGTTGCGTTCGCAGCGCCGGCAGAAACTCTGACACGCTCGTTGTTGAGACTTTTATTTTGACGGCGCTGAGAACAAACGCTCGCATTCTCCTGTTCATTAGTGTACGATCTGTCGGACAGTGCTGTCTCATACGTTATTATATAGAGCTGTAATACACAGATAGTCGACAGTGATGAAGAGTTATTAGCGTATGCCGTGTGTTGATATCCAGTGTTGCTGAGCAGAAACACATCATCATGATTCTCTCGGTCTCCTCAGAGTTGTGTTGGAGTTTCTCCTCAGTGTAAAGCTTGAGACGTCCATCTATCCCTGTTTTACATGTTCGTAGAGTTAGTTTGTGGAGTAAATATATAGGCTATAATCTGTGTGTTTACACAGCTTTTTTTAAATGGCGGGTGCTGGTGTTCCGCGTGCGTTCGGCCAATCAGAGAACACTAACGCCACTGTAGCTCCTATAGCGCTGGTCTAGACCGACTCTGAAGGACGAGTAAATTAGTTCCTCAAAGGAGTTCCTAGAGCTCAAATCGTTCCCAGTTCCTGCGGTGCGAACGCGCCAACATCCGTGGACTTCCACCAATAGTCGTGGAACTGTGAACGGTTCCTCCGGTGCGAAAGCCCGTCGTGCGCAGGTCTGCAGTGTGTGTGACTGACGCTGTTCTGTTGTGGTCTAGTGTATGCAGATGGCAGTATATGTTTAGACATTCTCCAGAACCGCTGGAGTCCCACGTATGACGTCTCCTCCATTCTGACATCCATCCAGGTGCATGATGGGTTTGCTACTCTTCAGTTTCTAAACGCTCCTGTGGTGTGACATCTATTTTGCACATATGTTGCATGTTGTCTCTGTTAATAAGTTGATACTTAAATTTAAACCTTTCTGGAGAACCGGGTCAATAACGCTGTAAACTTCAACGGTTTCTACAGGGGAAACTCTTAAATTTGAATATGGTGCAAAAGTTCATTTATTTCAGTAATTCAACTTAAAAGGTGAAACTAATATATTATATAGACTCATTACATGCAAAGTGAGATATTTCAAGCCTTTATTTGTTATAATTGTGATGATTATGGCTTACAGCTTATGAAACCCCCAAATTCAAAATTAGAATATTGTGAAAGGTTTTCATATCTGTAATCCATAATCATCACAATTATAACAAATAAAGGCTTGAAATATCTCACTTTGCATGTAATGAGTCTATATAATATATTAGTTTCACCTTTTAAGTTGAATTACTGAAATAAATTAACTTTTGCACCATATTCTAATTTAAGAGTTTCACCTGTATCTATAACCAGGCGTGTGACGGGATCAGGTTCACATGTTAGGATAATTGTATTGATAATACACTACTTATACGGTATTATCATGATATTTAAATAAGTTGCTCAAAAAAAGTTTTGTCATAGGTTTAATAACTTAACTTCTTATAATAAAAAGAGCTGGACATTTAAATACAAAATAATACAAACTAATTAGTGCTGGGCAACGATTAATCGCATCCAAAATGTACATTATACATGTGTGTGTAGTGTGTATAATTATTTAGAATAAATGAAAACACACGCGTGCCTTTAAGAAATATCTGCATGTATATAGTGTCTATATATTCATAATTTAAATATTTTATGTATAAATAACACATTTTTCTTAAATATATACATGGATGTGTGTGTATTTATATATACAAAATAATTATACACACACCGATTCATCACGTGTCTCACCTGTGCGATTTTAATAATTAATAATCAAAAGTTCCCATTTTTATCCAAGTAAAGGCCCTTTCACACCGACAGTGAATAATCCTCTGATCTCAGAACAGAAGAAAGTAAAACAATAAACACAAACAAAAATGAAGATTAATCTACAGTCGTGTTTGCTTAGTATGGTTTAATTAGATCAAAGGTCAACAGCAAATACATCGCTTAATAACGTGAGATTAATATATATAAAGCATATTTGTGTAATTTAACATATTGTAGGTTTGAAATGTTTTTAAAGTCCCCCTGTGGTGTAAATCCAGCTTTAATGTTGTTTATATGGTGTTTTTAATACGCTTTAAGACAAGCCATGTGTAATTTCATAAATCGACAGTGTTTTTTTAATGAGGCGAGGGTGTCGAGTTACATTCAAGATATTTTAAGGCGAAAAAATGTGTGAATGTCATTTTGGTGATGAAAGATGAGTTTTAATGGATAAAGTTGGGGACTTTAACCACTGTGAGGAATACTGAGTGTGTGTGTGAGTCGAGTAAATGCTCACACGTTACTTGTAATGGGTTTTGTGAAGATTGCAGGCCATTAAACAAACCAAAAAAGCATTTTAATTAAACAATTTTTTTACAATGAAAAAACTAAAGATGTGTGACGAGAACAGAAACACCAATGAATGGCTAGAGTTCTGCTGTAGTGAGTCTGTGACGAGTGGATTTATTGTTGTGCTCATTCAGATCTCTTCCCATAATGCCTGTGTGATTGTGTTTAGTCTCTATTGGACGAGCCGAACCCCAACAGCCCGGCCAACAGCCAGGCGGCCCAGCTCTATCAGGAGAACAAGCGAGAATACGAGAAGAGAGTGTCTGCCATCGTGGAGCAGAGCTGGGTCGACTCGTAACACACACACACACACACACAGGAGAACTATATTTGTGTGCTTATTTATTTTAACTGCATGGTAAGTCATTGCTAACAGAGCTTGAGATGTGCTGTTGTCGGATTGATGCGGTTGATTTAAACTGAAGCAGTGCAGATTATTGGCAAATGTTGCGTTCTCTAGTTACACATCAGTAATATATCTGAAGATTAATCTCATGCCCGTTTCGCCTGTAAAAGCACCTGAGGATTGACTATGGGATCATCTTTTTGTATCTGTATTTGATAACATCTTTACGCTCACATGTTTGTGCTTCAAATATAAAAGCAGACAGTAAATGAGGGCGTGTGCATATGATGTTCGGAGAGTTAGCTTTTGTGAATTTATCAGAGGAACATTTATACTTCTAAAATGCTGTATAAAAAAAAGTAAAAAATATTCAGACTTGGAGTGAAGACAATGAGTTCATTTTTATTGTTGCTAATACAAAAACATTATAGTAACAAAATATAAACACTGTGAGAGCTAGTCAATGAAGGCTGGTGTGTTTCAGGATCTGATCCCCGGCGAGTCCTTCCGTCACCGCTGCGGAAGACAAGAGGAACACACACACACACACACACACACACACATTAATCTTCACTCAAACCCTCTGTTCGTACTCTTCAACACTGACGGGTCAGAGGGCTCGACTCAACCAGAGGCTCACTGCTAAAATAGTTTTTTTCTGGTGAAAGAAATATATAAATTAAGAAGAAAGCCAAAATATTAAATGTCACACATGTATATTTGAAGAGTTTGGTTCCAAAACGCAATAAATCCATTTAGATTAATTTGAGTAAAAATGTGTTTTCTTTACCAAGAAAGTGGAAAGATGAAAACCACTATTTTCTGTTTCAAACTTTCACATAGCATTTGTAGGTCATAAAAAAAATTAAAATCTAGGTTTTGATTTTCAAAGATTTATTATAAAAACGGATTATTTTTTCCCCCAAAATGCAATAAATCCATTGAATCAATATAAAAGTCGTTTTTTCTCATATTGAAGCTGTTGAAAATACACAACAACGTAAGTTTATTAGTATAATATTTTTATTAAGAACTGTAAAGAAGATTGAAAACATTTTTCCTCCTCGAGTGCCTCGTCTTCTTAATCTCCTCCCGTAAATGATTCGATTTCGATGCCTTACGTTTCTCACCCACCGCAGAAACAGCCACAGGTTCATCAATGCCGTCAAAATTATTCATTTTTTTGTTTGTTTGTTGATCGAAAAGTACAAAATAGATAAGAAAAAATAGGAAGCCGGGTGTATTTAAGGCGCTGCCGTTATGGCGTGTTCACACCGAACGCGAATTTAATTATTTGCGCGAGTAGATTACATACAAAGTCAATGCAAAGACGCGAATAGACGCATTATTCGTGCCGGGCGTTGCGAATGACGCGAATTGGGCGACGCGTTTGCCGCGATCGTCTTCCGCGCAAGTTGAAAAATGTGAACTCGAGCGAATGTTCAAGCGTCTAACTAAACGCGTATTTGACGCTCTATTCGCGTTCGGTGTGAAAACATTACATTGCGTGGAATGGTGCGTTGTGATTGGTTGAGAGTGGAATGGTGCGTTGTGATTGGTTGAGAGCGGATATATCGCATTCTGCAGAGAAGAGAGACTGGCGTTTGTCGCGGTTTGGAAAGAAAGGGAGAAAACATGACAGAATAACACGGCGGATATCGCATTTTACTTAAAATTAAACATTGTCTTTTCAATACCAACCAGATACAATACTGATTTTTGCAGTAACTAATTTTTTTTTTTTTTTTTTTAAATGTCGTTTATCGCGTTTTGGAACCAAACTCTTCATTTGCTCAGTAATCCACTGTTTTGTAGAGGAGGCCAAATTACAGGAGGGTATAAATCACTTTAGAAAGATGACAGCATCATTATAATATTTATACACAGAGATTGGTCTATTAGTGAAATCTGTTGACTTTATCCATCTTTCATTATATGTCTGTTCAAAAATGGGGAAAAACACTTATTTTTCCAAGTTTGCATGGCTGTAACTCAAGAAGTAATACAGATATATTAATATCCTTTTAGATTTGGCTTTTTCACAAACTCTTCTTTTGGTATCCGTGTTTTTGAGGGCCTATATGGTTCAATCCCAGAGATATTGGGATCTCAATGCGGCTCCGAGAGTAATTTGTGCACATCTTGAGCTTATGTTATTTCCCCCAAGTTTGCATGGCTGTAACTCAAGAAGTATTAAAGTTATCTTGATATCCTTTTAGATTCTGGGTTTTAACAAACATTTATTTTGGTATCTTCATTTTAAAGGGCCTATATGGTTCAATCCCAGAGATATGGAGATCCCAATGCGGCTCCGAGAGTAAATTGGCTAAAAAACAAATGTGGGTTACTTTGCACACAGCTGATACTTTATTATTATAAAGAGGAATATCTGACCAACAGACAATGTTGAAACTAGAAAGAAGAGTTTATTATCTAAACCGATATCTGTATTACTTCTTGAGTTACAGCCATGCAAACTTGCTTTTCCTATTTGTGAACGGTCACCGTTGGCATATAATGACATAAATATTGCTAACGTCAACAGATTTCACTGATAAACATACCAATCTCTGAGTAAAGAGAAAATGCTGCTGCCATCTTTCTAAAGTGATTTAAAAAACCTCTGAGTAAATCTACATTCATGACAATTAATATTTTGGCTTTCTTCACCATTAATGTTTGTCTTTTTTCAGAAAGAATATTAACAAAATCAAACATTTGAGCTGTGGAAGTTTCTTTGATTTGACACGGACTGAACCGTAGATCAGCCAAAGCTCACTGAGACGCCAGACGTGATGATGTTCTCACGCTAGTTGGCAACAGCCTCACACACACACACACACACACACACACACACACACACATTATTAAAAATGAACATATATCAGCCAATACCGATATGATGACTGATATATCGTACATTTGCATATCGGACAGGGCTCCAGACTAACTTTTTCACTGGTGCTACCAACTTTCTCAGTTAGTCGCACCAACATATGATTTGGTCGCACCTTTTTTTTTTTTTTTGCTACATGCCATGGGATTAATCAATGCATGCTGATGAATAGTGGTTTTAATGGACCAAGGCTAGCAAACACTTTCTGTGTTGCAGCAGAAATACCTGTAATATATTAATTATCATTGCCAAATTTCAGGATTTTCATGGATTTTGGACAGTAATTTTAATCTGTAATTTTAAGCATTTTACATTTGAATTATATACAATCTATCTGTCTATTATCATCTTTCTATCTTTTAAAAATCATTAAACATTCAAATGTATGCATTACATTTTAAAAGATTAGAGTATTATAATAAACTGATACAGATTTTTCGTTATCAAAGTTTATAGTTGTAACAAAAAGCAGAAATCTCACACTCCTTCCCTTCTGCATTTTATAATAATTCCCTTTTCCTCTGTCGAGTGATCATGAGAGTAATCGGTCGACAGAGGAAAATATAACCGCTGTAAAGACGTAGGAGGAAGGGGCTCTGTGTTTCGGGAGACCTTTTTTACCATTTTTATGTTCTTTAATTCCTGAATTCGTAATTGGCGCGTTTCACCATCAGTGTGCAATGCGCGTGACGTCTACGTTCGTCAATAAATAAACTGCACGTGTCTTGCGGAAGAACACTGTAGCCGGAGCTACTTCTCTCCGTTAATGTCTATGGCGAGTCACGCAGGCACTGGGCTACTCCGCAGCCGAGACGAGCCCGGGATAAAACAGTCTGAATATAAACACTTATTATAGGCGTACCGTAGTGATTCAGGATAAGTCAAAAACACGGTTTGGAAAATGGATTCATGATGTACTCGTTCATTTTGAACATAAGTTACGGACTGCAGCAGCTGATACAGCGGCGCTCTGTTGCTCAAGCGTCCACTCGCACTAATGCGACCACATAACATTTAACTCGCACATTCTCAAAAAATGGTCGCAGTCTGGAACCCTGATATCGGACATTTTTTAATATAACTCTGGTTATATTCGTCTGAAAGAAGAACGTCATACACACCTAGGGTGACTTGAGGGCGAGTAAATCATGGGATAATTGTCATTTTTTATGTACTATCACTTTAAACTGTGCAACTCTTCTGAAGTAAAACATGATCAGACAGATGTGTTGCATTATACTCCTCAGCTTGCACAGATCTCGTGTGTGTGTGTGTGTGTGTGTGTGTGTGTGTGTGTGTGTGTACCCTCTGCTGCTGTTCTTTGATCAGTTCATCTCTGGTCTTGAAGACAGGAGCGTCCTCCACTACGATCCCCTCGGCCATCTCTCCCACCTTCTCCAGCAGATCTGGGCTATACCTGCAGATACACAGAGGAGATCATCACACACACACACACACACGTCTCTGGGCTATACCTGCAGATACACAGAGGAGATCATCACACACACACACACCTCTGGGCTATACCTGCAGATACACAGAGGAGATCATCACACACACACACCTCTGGGCTATACCTGCAGATACACAGAGGAGATCATCACACACACACACACACACACACACACACGTCTCTGGGCTATACCTGCAGATACACAGAGGAGATCATCACACACACACACACACACACACACACACACACACACACACACACCTGGGCTATACCTGCAGATACACAGAGGAGATCATCACACACACACACACACACTTCTTGAAACAAGCAGTTTTACCAGTATTTGAGACTCTCTCTTTCTATATATATATATATATCACATCACATCACACACACACACAAAGTATGAGTCTGAGTGGAAGGCTGGCGCTGAACTGTGTTCTCAAATAAAACGAAGACTTTCATAAATGTTTGTCCGGGGCAAGTTTAGCATGTATTATAAATGTAAACAACCTATTAGTTACAATTTTCGTTAGTCAGACTGGTTTGATATCACATGTTCGTGATATATTATATAATACTATTTGGCATTTCATAATGGTTTAGAAGCTTAACTAAGCTTAAAAAACTCGCAAATGCACGTCAGAATTGTGAGATAAAAAAAAAACACAATAACCTAAACCATAATATTATTCCCGTGCGGAAACACGTGACTCTTGCGGCCTGACCCCTGACCTGCAGCCCAGGAACACGTGGT